TGCAGTGTATTGAGTTGCGAATTCAATCAATGAGTTGTTGGGGTTCACGTACTTCTTGAGCACAGCATTGAATCCCTCGCTCCTTGCAGTTGTCTGCAAGAATGGAAAGAAATGCTTCATGTAGTACACTGGGGTCTAACATTTCCTATTTTCCCACAGCCATTGAAAATGTTCGTTGGCGATCTGGCCATGTTCATCCATCATTGCCCACCATTTGTTTTCAAACTCTTCCTCTGTGATACACAAAACGTTAGACAATTACAACATCATACACAATCATTGGTAATTAAAGTACAAGTATGCTGGTAACTTTTCTTAGTTGTTAGATGGTAACTTTATTGAACAGTTTTTTCAGATCTGGTAACTTTCCTAAACCACAAGTTGGTATCAACATATGTGACTGCCCCCTGGTAATATAGCCAACTACATCATGGTAACTTGTGTAGACCCACACATGGTAACTTGTGCATCACATATATTTATATGGCTTCTCAAGTTTGCTGGATGGTAATTAAAATGGGTCAACAGATTAGGTATGTACCAGTCAAGCTATTGTCGACACAGTCTTTGAACGCTCTGTTTAGTGGTTTATCATCAGCCATAAGTTTTCCAAGTTTCTCCCGCGCCTTCTTCATTATATGCCAGCGGCAATTTCTGTGTATTATGTTCAAGAAGACCTCGTCGATCGCACTCCTCATTGCAAAGTCCTGGTCTGTGATGATGTTTTTAGGGGCAATATCACCCATTGCATGGAGGAATGTGCTAAACAGCCACATAATGTTTTCCTTTAGTTCGTTTTGAACGAAGCCACACCCAAACTGGATGGATTGACCATGGTTATTAATTCCAATGAATGGTGCACACGGCATCTTGTACATGTTTGTCATGTATGTTGTGTCAAATGACAAACAGTCATTATACTTTGCATATGCCCTGCGTGATGCGCCATCTATCCAGAACAAGTTCTCAACCCTGTCCTCATCATCAAGTTTGATTCTCCAGTAGAAATATGAATCTTTGGCCCTCATCTCTTGGAAGTATGCAATTGTTCTCCCAACGTCCTTGTGGCGGTGCTCTAAGCGGAACTTAGCTCGTTGATTAGCAATGTCTTGTGTCGTGTAGGGTACGTCTTTAGCGCTCCCGTAGAACCATGACATCAGTTGCATCTGCCTCGTAGTCTCAATGTTGCATCCGTGCAGAACCCTCAAGAAGTCCTGCTCCTCCTTCAGAATGTCCCGATGTGATGATAAGAATTTTGTTAGGGAAGGCTTTTTGATCAGGGGGTGATTGTGGGTGTCCTCGAAACGGTCAACAGTCCACCATCCATCATCGTGGGATAGGTACATGTGCGCTTCACATTCAGTCCTAACAACTTTCTTTTTTTCCTCTTCTTGACAATGATGTCTGGGTTTTCCACATCTTGCAGCTCATCCCTGTCCTTGTGTCGTTTGCCATATTTTGTACAAACTAGTAGCACCCTGCTTATAGTTCCATCAACCCTCTCTTTCTTGAATTGCTGCCTAATTGCAAAGCCAGTTCTGCGCGCGTAGGTGCTGTAGTGGTCACGTGCGCTCTCCATGGTGTCAAATTTTGTCCCTTGCAAAGGTGGCTTAGGTGTGGAATATGCCTCCATGTTGCTGCCTTCCATATCAGCATCGATCCCAGCAGATTCTAGAGTTGTTGGTTCACTTATTGTCTGCTCTCCAAGGCTCCCAGCTCTTGTGCTTGCATTTGTTCCAGCACTATGTGCACTTGTTCCACCACTGGGCAAGCTGTTGTTTGCGTTGATTGCCCGAGCACCTACATTTTGGCCTGGTAGATTAGTGGAATATTACATGATAAATAACAGTTTTCCATCATGGCAGTTTTCTGAAGATTCAGTGAATGTATGTTTCTTTTTCATGCCTAAACAACCCTGGTAATTTGCATACTCTGAACCTGGTATTATGAGTGCACCAATGCTGGTAATTTACAAACCAACTTCAACAGTAAAGCATTCTTTTCTGCCTAAAAAACCCTGGTAATTTGCATCCTATGGACATGGTAATATGTGTGCACCAATGCTGGTAAGTTTCAAACCCACTTCAATAGTAAACTATTCTTTATGCCTAAAAAATCCTGGTAATTTGCATTTTCTGGACCTGGTAATATGTGTGCACCAATGCTGATAAGTTTCAAACCCACTTCAATAGTAAACTATTCTTTATGCCTAAAAAACCCTGGTAATTTGCATTTTCTGGATCTGGTAATATGTGTGCACCAATGCTGGTAAGTTTCAAACCCACTTCAATAGTAAAGTATAAGACTGGGTTTTTTCATTCCATGATGATATGTAAACAGTAATGTTGGTAATTTTACCTGTCCCCATGATGTTTGGGTATGCTGAATTGCTGCTTGGTGTGCGCGCTGCATCGCCTTCTTCATGCATTCTACCCCCTCCTCCATCATTATATCCTCTGCTAGCATCCATTTATCTACTCCTGCTTGATTTGTTTTCACGTTTGCACGTTAGTACACATTTACACGTGTTCACTCTTTTTTTAAACTCATTGTTTTGTTTTACTCTTTACATAGGTGTTTGAAGGCAAGAATCGCAGGGGTGATTGGGAAGAACACTAAACAGGACAATTTACAGTACAACATGAGCATCTCCATTAAAAGGCAGCACTTTTCTTTATCCAATGTTAGTACTTAGCTAAAGTGGATGATAACTTTTACTATGTACAGATTGATAACTTGATTACTTCATGCAGTATAACATTCTTGTAGACTGAAAAATGAACCTTTTTTGCAATGCATCTTTCATTGTATGAGAGAATGATTTTTGTGGTCAATAAAGGTTCCTCTCTCCTTTATTTCGTCTTTATTTTTCCATGGTAGAACACAAAATCTATGTTTAGTGTAGCAGGGGAATGGGGTATTTTTTTTTGGGTACTCTATTTTGTTGCATGAAGTTGGTAACAAAAACTACGGGGGGCTGGTAATTTTGCACTTAGTTGATTGGTAACTCACTGCAATAGGCAAAATTATGAGAGAAGTCTGCTTATTCTATTTTCTAGTGGTGAAAGGATGGTAATTTTTGCACAGATTGGGAGGGGGTCTGGTGGGGGTGGGGTAAGTCTTTGTATTAAGCATAATTTTTTGGAGATTTTTGGATGAGTGTTTGATTCTTACCAGGGTGAGGTGATGTTGCCTGGTGATTTCTTCGCCGTATCCCTGGTAATTTCCACCGCTCCCCTGATGATCTGCTCTTGTTTGATCCAGATCTGGAGGAGGGGTAGGTCTTTGGTGTTGATTTTGAGCAGCTGTGTAGGGGGGAGGGGCGGGTGGCTGGTGGGGAGGGTGAGAGAGGATATACTTGCGTGGAAGGTAAGGGGGGTGGGGGAAAGTTGCGATCTGGAAAGTGTGTCGTGGGGGGATGGCATTTTCTGTTGGGCCTTGTACAGCGATCGGCCTGGTTAGCTGGCAGGGTGGTCGGCCTGGTTAGCTGGCAGGGTGATTGGCCTGGTTAGCTGGCGGGTGATCGACAGGTAAGATAAATTTTCTATCGGGCACACTGTTGCCAAATATCGCTGTCCATAAAAGAATGATAGGAATGCAGGTGGAATTCCATAAACTTGCTCGTTTGGTTCACATGAACACAAAAACAGAGAAATGCTACTAAACAAAGTCAAATTGAAGTCGGACCACGTGAAAAAAGTATAATAGAATGTTATTACGTCACTAAATGCTCATGTCTCGTGCTTCCTGCGCATGAGCTTTTAAAAGAGGTCCGAGTGTAGGCATGTACTCTCTCCGTTCCAAATTACTCGTAATTTGAACTAAAACCACGACGAGTAATTTGAAACGGAGGGAGTAAATGATAAATAAATGATGCCCGCAAGTTTCGTTTAGTCAGGTTTAGCTAGCTCGATATTTCATTTTCACTGAAAAAAAACTTCATTGAACTTTTGGATCATAAGTGGGCTTAAACGGACCCGGTTTACATGCCCGACCTAGTGGATTGGATCAAAGTTCTTTTTTTCTTCCATTTTTCCTTTACTCTATTACTTTGAACCAAACAAACAAATACGGACCCTAAAGCATCATGTTCCATCAAAGCTTTTGTCTTCTTTGTTGGTTAGATTATCTGTAGGGAGCAAGCCAAACAGTAGCAATGGTTTCCATTCAATTAACAATGATATCCATTGACCACTGTCGACGCAAAGCTTAATCATCAGCACGCCCTTCTTATTAGGAGTAGTAACTACGGCCAACTAATTTAAGCAGACTAGTCACCTCGTGTTGGATCCAGCCAACTTCCAGCTCATACCTCATCATGCATGCCGATACTGTGCATGCCACTCCATTACACGTATGCGCTTTACAAGCCTAAAACGGATAGACAGCATATGGAACAGCTAGCAATGGCGCAACAACCAAGGCAAGAATCGGCTCACGAGGAGCTTGGCGCCATGAAGAACACGGCAGTGCTTGAATATTATTAAAGTACTACTGTCTACTGCTCATCAGCCGTCTGAGATTTGTTTTGAGATCAAAGATGAGACATATGGGACAGGATCTGAGAGTGGTGAAAATCGATCGAAAACAAGATAAACTCTTATATCCAGTTAACAATGCATACTGTGCATACCTATGTACTGTGTATTTCTTTCTTTGCCACAAAGGGATGTTATAAAGGGATTATATAGGTGCGACAAAACTTATATTTTTCATGATTTTTATCATAACACCGCAAGATTGATCGACGATCACAAGTACATGAATACACAAAGAATATGAATCGGCCGCGAACATTATTACAAGAAATAATGGACAGAAAAACAAAACAAAACTCCTATATACTTCTAGAACACATACGATTGGTATGTATATTCGCACCTAGGTACTCAATTATACGCTACTTGATCAACCCATAATCGTTCAATATATACCTCCCATTTATACGTGCGATATATGCACGTATATATACGGCATACCACACAAGCAGAGGCAGCCAGCTAGCTAGGGGAATCGCCACGGCCATGGCCTTCGCAGAGCTCCGAGAGCGCCCTGAGGAGCTCCACCCTGGCCCGGAGCTGCGCGATGTAGTCGGCCGTGCGGACAAGCAGCCGGTCGGTGGGCATGACCGCCGCCCCGGGCACCAGCCGCCGCAGCTCCCGCACCTTCCGCCCCACCGCCGCCGACCTCCGGCGACGGCTCGAGCACAGCGACCTCCTCCTCCTGGCGACCTCCATGCCGAACGGATCAGCAGGGCAATCAATGAAATGTGCTAGCTAGCTAGCTCTCTAGTAGCTACGCTACGCGCGGTACGTGTAGGCGTAGCGTGGCCCTGTGGTCGACGTGACGACGGTGATGGGGAGGGAGGGAGAGCTGGGCTCGGGATAAATAGGGGAGGGGGAGGGGCCGATTTGGGAGAGAACGTTTTAACGAGGGGTTTGCGCGTGAAAGTGCGCGTGAGCTGTGGCGCGTCGCGTAGCGCGGCGGAAGGGGGCCCGCGCGTGGACGCCACGTCTTGTCCTGCACACGTGTCTGACAGCTTTCTGACCGCCCAAGGACCCGGGGAATTTATGGGCGTGGATTTTGTTTTGCCCGTTCTGCCCTTCGCTTTGTCTCGCGTGTGTTCAGAACCTTCTGACTACAAATTCATGCGAATTGCGAAGCGAGTCTAGTTTAAATGGTTTGGTTCCTTGTGAAGGAACTAGCCCATCAGGAAAAGTCCTAGAGTTAATATTGGTGCTTGCATTTTTCTGAATTTAACTCGGACCTTTTGTTGATGTTTGTTTACCGTGAAGGGACGTTTCTGTCGACTACGAAGGCGTCTGTGGTGACTTCGTCACTCTCATGCGTGTATCCGGGTTTGTAACGTGTTAAAGTGGAAGATATCAAAAAAATTCACAGGGATTCAATAACTTTTTCTAAAACAGATTTCATTGATTTTGTTTTTCAGAAAAGATTTCATTTCTTATAAGTGTTCATCGAGACAAGACACGAACCAAACCATGGTTCTACCTGTGACGAGAAGCCATAACACGATTCTACTACCTATCACGAGAACTTGTAGTTTTAGCACCTTTAATCTCTCAATCTTCATTAAGGACGTCGGCATGGTAGGACAAAGCACATATCTCCACTCCAAATATTCCCAACGCTTCTGCTCAATTGATTGTACCAAAGCATGAGCCTGACCAATAAAACCCTAGCAGGCTTTCATCCCAGCTCCCGTCAAGCCTCAAATTCAACAGGTAATGCACTTGCAGAGGAACACATCGATCTATAGGACGAAAAGATGATATCACCTGAACTGTTTCATAACACCCTGCCAATCTTACTGTACCAATCTGATTCCACGAACGATCTTTCCACATTTAAGTTGGTCGAGAACATTCCGTACGGTTCGCAGGTTTGCTGAACCAGACATTCTGTTGTAGACACAATTAAGCTACGACATTCTTTGTGGGAACACTGAACAACCTACTTACCCTTTGCTAAGTCAATAGTTTAGTATTTCTTTATAAGTAGTAGCAAGTCGAGATAGCTAATTGCATAAATATCTCCTTGATCTTTCTATTCCCAACGTCAACTTGTGAAGTGTCAATTCATTATGCACATGCCACACCATTAGAGAAGCATAAAAAACACCACACCTTTTGTTTGCGAAAACTTGTCAAGGATCCACTATGTTCCTACAAACCAACAAGCTCTCACCCCATATGTCTAAGTACTCTCATTGCTTGCCACAGAGCTTGAGCACGAGGATATCGGCATATCATGTGAAAAGTGCTCTCGCCATCCACTCCACAGATGGTGCATACCCCTTGTGTAATCATATGCCTTTGATGAATAATATCTTTGGTAGATAGAGCGCTTCTTAAGACATTCTTTTTCAATCTTAATGTGCTCACACATACCTTGTTCATCGAATTAATGTTGCAAGGCAAGATAATATGCACTAGGCAACAAGAACATGCCTCAACTGTCTTGGTAAGAGATCTACAAAATTCCTTCTTGAAGGCTTAATCTATAGAATCATTTTTGTAAGGGACAAATGATTCAAAACCTCAACGCAAGGTTATGTCATTTCAAATTTCACATAAGTAAAGATAGGATTCATTGAACCCTAGAAATATATCAACATTCTCAAAAATACCATGTAAATATTTTTGCTATTACATATAATTTGTTAGATATGCAAAGCCTAGGGATTAAATAGCGCATGCAATAGCAACCCCTCTGAATTGCTATTTTTCAAAAATATTTGAACAAAAAAGCTACGATTGTTGTAGAGAGAAAGTGTGACATCCAACATGTGTGTGTGTGGTCTTACCATCAAACGACATCAAGTCATCTTCATCATCAACCTATTTCATTATACACAACCTCATGCACTTTCTCGCGAGTACTTTCTCCTAACTCATGAAGTTACATATTGTTCATGGGGTAGGAAGTTCCCCGGTGCTGCTTTTGGGCTCACATGGATGGCTTGAAATGTGAAGTAGTGTTTCATGAAACATCAACGAGGTAACATCGGTGGTAGATAGTGGCAGTGGAGAACTAATGTTGCAGAAAATTACACCAAGAAGAAAGCAACAACCGAACCGCATGTCTCCCGATGTATATTGGGTCGCTCTAGCCTCATAGGCACGACGATTGTGACATTAGAATGGAAAAACACTGCACTCACATGTCACATTCATCGCCAGAGTATTTGATGCTAACCATTCCAATTTGGAGTAGGAGTTTGGACCACATTTTGGTGTAAACGCTTTAACTAAATATGGGCAACATATGGGATTTAGATGGAAATTGTTGAAAATAGTTTGAGGGAAGTCGGAAGCACCATGACCAATTACAAAATAAGATAATATGATTAATCTTCCATGTCTTGGAAGTTAACATGAAAATTCGAACATCGTCCAGAAGTAGTTCTAACATCAAGCTCTTAAATCTTGTCATCTTGATAAAGTCCACCACATCTATCTATACCGGTCTTGCACACGTATGGTAGTTGAAAAATACTTATCTACCGAATTTATTTCACAAGTCATATGAATGTGTATCATATAGCACACAAATTATCTAGGTGCACCACTTTACCGTACGTCAAGACAGCATACGGTCAAGAAATTGATTGCGTGACAAGGTTTGTGTACTGCTACCATCAAAACCGTACGTACGTAGCCACGCCAGCCAGCCAGCTGCAACCCTCTGAGCGTCAAATTAGACCGCGAAAAGCAAAGCGTTCATCAGCATAACCGTCTGAGAACGTGTTTGCACGTGCCGGTGGGCGTGGCATGATAGCTGGCCTCTTTTATCCTGTAATGGACGAGCCGTGAGGTGGATGGAAGGGGACCATGAGGCCATGGGGGCACTCTAGGTGTGCACGTAACATGGCTACATATGCAGAGGTTTTCTCTTGGCGGGAACGACACATGAGAGAGAGGGAGAGAGAAACGGAGAGCCGGCCGGGTTGGCCCGTTGTGGTTGGTGTACCCAATAACGGGAAACGGTGCACATGCATGCACATGATGCTACGGCCCCTGAACAATCCAGTCTTGGCGTATTATCGATCCATCCGTCTAATTAAGCCGTACGTCTGGCCGTCCGATTAATGCATTGCTAGCTTGCACAGCCATGTATGTGCCGTTCATTCAACCAGTGGATGGATGAGAGAAGCCCACGTACCTCTGTATGACTACTATATGTAATGTACGCCTGCCTCGACACCCAGTCTAGCTTATATAATTGTTATGGACTTGATCAAGTTAAGCCGTCCAATAAACACGAAAACAGACGTCGATCGTGATGGTGCTAGCAATGATAACGCCCCTGTTTTTCGATATAAAAAAATGATACTGCCCCTGGTAAACGAAGACAAATATCTATGGATCTGATAGTTTAGCAAGCCTGAGTCGATCGTACGTACTTGCCTGGATTCGCTCCAGGGTTTGTGTCTTCCTTGTACTCATCTTGAGATGAAATGTGTTTTTCACCATGCGACAACGAACCAGTTGCTCACCCGGCGATTGAGATTTCAGCCATGCATGGACCTAGAAATTAAATATGCTATATAGATTACGGCGGAACTTTTGCTGCAAGCTTAGCATGGATGCATGCATGTCTCAGTTATCGAGTAGGCAGTCATCCTAATAATCCATCAAAGATCAAAAGGTTTTATATATGTAGGAGATGATTGTCTACACTGAATGAGAATAGTCAAAGGTGATCACCGTGGCCCAATTTTTCTAGACCGGCTTGCGATCGCGATTCTGCATACCGTATACGACAACATCAAAGTTGTCCTTGCTAAATGTATGTGCATGTGACCTGTGATCGTGAACATAAAGCCTAGCCTGGTGGGCGGTGTCTACTAACACCTTAATCATAATTTAGAGGAAAAGGAGGGGCTCTACGCCAAAATGCCTTCTTTTTAGGTTGCATTGCATCACAGCTCAGCGCTAGCCGCTAGGGCCCTGATCTCCTCCCCTTTGCTTTCTTTACCGGACCAGCGGCGTACCACCATACTACCACGGTTTCATTTTTTACTTACTGTCAGGGGTTGGGTGCGATATATGCCAATGGATGGCTTATCATGGTGGGGGCGAGTAGAACATCGCCGGTGCCTGGAAACAGGATGAGGCCTAGACACAAACGCCGGCGGACTTTACCCAGGTTCGGGGCTCTCCTAGAAGATAACACCCCTAGTTCTGCTCTGCAGGGTCTCCGCATGATCACTAAGGCAAAAGTGAGTACAATGATGCTCCTCGAGCTGTATCTGTGGACCGGAGGAGACTAGGCCAGCTCTCCCCCTTCTCTAAGGTCAGGTCTAGTTCTAATGGATCGGAACCCCTTGCATGGGTGTCCTGGGGGGTTTATATAGACCTACCCCCAGGGGTACAATAGTAAACCGACTGGGCGCAGGGCCCAGCCGTCAGTCTCTTCTCCTGCCGGCCTCTATGCCGACTGCTGGGGCCCGCCGGCTGGTGGGCCCCGCCGACTGGTCTGGTACGGAGCCGACAGGCCGTACCCGCCGCTTGCGGGTCTTGCCGGCTGCCGATTACTGTAGCCGTGCCTCTAATGATGCAGGCTTGGTCATGGGGTCGTGGCTACAGCCCTGCTACCTGACGGGCGATTACTGTAGCCACTCCCCGTCTCGTCTGGTTAATGGCGTGTGGGACCCGTGGGAGGGGCAGGCCGACTCCCGGGGGCCGGCTCCCTTCGGGTCCGACTGGTGGCG